TAGAGCCTAGTCTCCACTGGTGTTGGACCTATTTCTGTACAAATATAATTTTGGCCTAGGCTCTTAAACATAAATCCATCATATAAACCTCCAACCAACACTCTGCTGGGGTTTTGTTTATTCGCAACAATCTTACCTTTACGTTACTTAATGAAAGAAACAGTCTAAAATAATGTAATCTACAAATGCAATGCTACGTTTTGCCAATCACAGCACTGCCACACGTGTGTTAAAATTGACAAAACAGCAGGTAATGGTGACCAACAACAACAGCTAATGTTGCAGGTAACACACACACGTTTTCTTGAATTATTTTATTTAATTTTAATCGTAATTTAAAAGTTATTTTAAATCAAACCACATATTTTCCATGTTCAGTGTTGGTTGGCGTCATAGGCGTGACATTTGCTAAATACACCTTCACTGTATTGCATTCATCATCTGGCAGCACAATCGTTATAACCTTGACCTCTATTGAATACAAAAAGCCGTGCCCTTTTGTTTAATTACATTGTCTCTCAATGCTGTCCACTATATTTCACGAGTCTTGATTTAACCTGTTATATCGTCTGCTGTTACTACGTCTTTGATTAGTTACGTTTGTGTATACTCTATTACAATGCTTTGCTTCTTTAGCTGTTTAATTAAATCACCATTTTCCAATAACATTAGTTATTTTTTACACGTAGGCTTTCGCGACCAATATTATTCATAATAAAGGTTTTTGGGTTAGATCGCGTGATTTATAAATGTGTCGTAACCCTCCACCACCCGACACGGCCAATCAGCAAAAAAGTGTCACGTTGACAAAAGACAAATAGTTCACTACTTTAGCCCACCGGTGCGTTGAAGAGTGAATCCACAACATTTACAGTTTGAGTAGTACGACGTTTCGCTGGTAATTACATCCAGCATCATCGGGAAATTCGCCAGAATGGTAAAGCCCTCTCCACTTGCTCCTCGTCTTAAATAGAGCAGCAGGGTGACGTCATCGTTTAACGTATTCAGGTGCAGTGATTTGAGGCGGACAGGGGAGTATTGTAATTATATAATCGACTGGTAATCAGTAAATGGTTATGATTAGTAATGAGTTGTAGATTAATAATGAGTTGTAATGTGTGTTATTGTGATTATATGCTACGTTAGTAATCCGTTAATTAGTATGTGTTTCCCCTATAAGGAATTGTAATATGTATTATTTAATAATACGCTTCCAAGCCGCACTAAGCCTGTAGCTGTCAGAGCGATTAGTTATCTAATATTCTTGCAATTATTTGATTTCATTGTTGTTCTTCTGCTGCAATTTTAGGATCGTTTTTTCCATTGTTGGTTTCGCTGGCGGAACAATTGTGTATTTATTTGTTGTGTTGATTCTGCTGATGGAATTATTTTAGCCTTGATGTATTTAATTGTTGTTTTGGATCTGAAATCTGACGCGGTGAGACGACGATCAGCGAGTTTACGGCGATAGTGTGTCCCACGATGACAGAAAATTGGACAATTGGAACTGGGAAATAATATTCAGTTGATTTACTGATTAGTTTGTTCACTCTCACGCAAACTTCAGCATGGTTGAAATAGGCAGATGATATGAAAAAAACATATTTCCTCACAAGGCTTGAAGCTTGGACACACATTTGCTCATCCATTTGTTCGTATGTATAGATTATGCCCTGGCCTATACTCGCTGCACTCAGGCTCTCGCCTAGAAATCCTACCTGAATTTGAGTAAGCTCCCTTGGCAGGGTGTGCAGTTAGAATGAGCGCGGAGAGGGAGTCGAGTCTCAGGCCAACTGCACGTGCTTTTGTGTGCTTTGTTAATGCGTGTCTTTGTGTGTGTATTTGTGCGTTGCTGTTTGTGTGTGCAGGGAATGAGTGTGTGTCAGATGTGGGATAGATATTTCAGTGGGGAGGCTAAGTACAATACATACATCTCCCCATATATTCCCTACACATCAGGGAAGAAGGGCCAACACTGTATAATTCCACACCATTATCCCTGAGGTCCCAGCACAATAAAAAATACACACATTGGTGTATTTACACGTGAATACCACCTTGGCACAGCAGCCACTGCCCCTCCCGTGTCACTTCCCCTATAGACCAGACATATCTGTTCCTCTCCTCATGCCCTTGCCCTCTGACCCCCACCCCTCCATCCTTTACCTCTTACGTTCACACACCTTCTCAGGGCCACATATTACCACTATCACAGTGGATCGGGGTCTATAGATCCAGATCTACCAGATCTCAGCAGTGTAGCGCCGTTTTGTGGTATTTGATACCACTTTGTTTTGAGCCGTTGACATGGACAACACTGCTGGCTGGCCTGATTGCATGCTACGACCGATTAAGTAACACGTGCTGACACTACAATAGTCTTAACTGTTGCAAATGGGTGAAGCTTAAAAATGTTTAGCAAATATTATAACTCTGTAGTTTGATGTTAGGCGACAAAGTTAATTATTCATTTGTCATCAACATTACGGCTATATTATAAAGACGCCACGTGTGCAAGAGAACATATGTGGCAACAACAGCATTCTAAGCAACAATACAATCTACTGACTGTTTAATTACTTACTTATCCAGGAAGCCACACTTGAGTCTGACTTTTTTTCAGATGGAAACAGATGGCGATGCTTTCGCTTGGCCAAGGTAGGGTATGGAACCTCGACGCCCATGAGAAGGGAGATTCACACCATTTAAGAGATCCACAAACCCTCGCCTCCACAGTGCTGACTGATCGGCATGCGCCACATCTACAGCTTGCTGTGTATGTGTGAACAGATCACTGTGTACTGCAGGCTTTCAATGTATGTATGTTGAACTTCTTTGTCACCATACGTGGCCAACCGTGCTCGTCGGAGGTGCGAAATTGTATTGATACCTATCACGATATCTAGCAATACAATTAAAATGTCAACATCAGTATTATTAAACTAATTGCACGAGGGCATTTAACGAATCCTCATCGTTGTAATTACAGGATTTATGTCAATAATAGTTCAAAGAAGCTCTCCATTAAATTACAGACTTATTGTAATATTAGGTTAATGTAATAAAAAATGTCTGTTTTCATTAAAACAAATCTCACCTTGGCGTCAGGGACACAGTAAAACGCCGGGCGGTACAAACCGACGGCCAAATGAAAGACGAGGGCCCGCCCAAAAATGTGCACGTCCAATAAACAAAAATGGTGTTCTTTAGCGAATATCAATAATTCGGACTTGGTAATCAATTCCAAAATTATGGAATTTCATCATATAACCCTGTTACATTTTAGTAACAAAATCACTGATTGGTACGTGTCAACCCTTCATACTGTATGGCCCGTTCTTATGCAGTTGGTCAGCGCAAACCACCCTAAGGCAGTAGCGCTCATTTTTCACATGGTACATCCGAATAAATATTCCTTCACACTGGACATTTAGTTTTACTTAGACCTTTTCAATTATCATAACCACTGATGGATGAAAGCCTCCCGTAGATGTTGCCATCTCGTACGGTCCTATGACTGGCACAGTAATTCACCAAGAATCTCTAAATGAGAATATTTCATCGCTCGATATGCTCGGGTGGGTTTCTTCATTTGCAATGTGCGTTACCACTTTACTTCGTTTAACGTGATGCATCCAGTTTAACACGTAGGCTTCCGCGACCAATATCCACATTATGGATGATGCATCTAACCTCCGTATGTTATCCATAATAGAGGTTTTTTTGGGTTAGATCGCAGTAAATATATAAATGTGTCATTAAAACCCGCCACCACCCGACACAGTCAACTGGTAATGTTATCTAAACCATACGCTAACTAGTAATGCTATCTAAACCATACGCTAACTAGTAATGCTATCTAAACCATATGCTAACTAGTAATGCTTTCTAAACCATATGCTCCTCTTTCTTCATGTTGTTATTCAGTTTTCTTCGTTAATGTCCACGTTTCTGATCCGCATCACAGCAGGTAGTATGCGTTATTCTTTTCATGATCAGGTTCAGGTTTCCAATAGCACTCCAACCAGCTCTCTGTCCACCTCTTTGTATCATTATATTGACCCCGCTTCACTTCAATAAATGCCCCAGGCACATATCCTCCAGTTGCGTCCCACTGGTAGACATCTCCAAATATTTTCCAAACCTGTCGTGGAGTGACCTTTGTTTTGCTCTTAATTATCCGGAGCCTAACGTTGCAGTCTTCGTTTTTTTAATTAAGACATATCGATGAATGTGAAAAACCGATAATCAATGTTTCTCAGCATCCGAGGGCTGCCTCAAGGCATGAAGAGGATCACAAAGGTACATTTTACTCGGCAATACGGTGGAGTGAAAAGCTCCTATCTCTGGCCCTTGATCCTACAACTCCTATTGTCTGCGAGGCTAGTCCGATTTAAAATGCATCCAATTTATCCATATATAAGCCTATTATAATTCTTTTTTTTACAGCTCTGTCAATCTATTGCTGGATAAATCCCCAGCCATCCGACTCTGTCGTGATTGTCACGGAGGGCTGTTTTCCTTTGCTTCACCGTGCTGGTCACAGTGAGGGTTGGGAGGCGGTAGAATCAGTTCGGATATCGCTCGCCGCTGATGTCAGTCGTGACCCAGGTACCACGACGCCACCCCTCCCACCCGCGTGTTTATTGTTGTTTTGGCACGAAATGGGCATCTTCGAGCACCTACAATAACCGGCGAGGTGGTGTAAACTAAATAACGGAACTAGATGAGTTCAGAGATAATATCATATTGATTACGTTATCATAGAAAAGGTTAAACAGGATTTTGAAATAGGAGTCTTTTGCCTTTTCACAAATATGATAAAAGAAAACACAACAGGGTAACCCACACCATTGAATCTCTCAGAATATGTCGTCGTTAACTTTCCCACCACAGACTACTGTTGAAAATGTATTTACCATTGTGTAATGTGATGTAAAAAAAAACCCCCACAAAATATAAATATTCTCGGCATTGTTTGGCTCCGGCCCCTCACTCACCTAGCATGACGACGACGAACATCAGAAGCCAGGCTGCTCCTGTTGGGATGCGGGAGCGCACACGAAGGCCCCCCATGGCAGGAGAATTCCCGAAGCTGCCCGGATGAACGGTGGACACGGCTCAGATGCCGCCGCCGCCCACGAACAAAACCCCCCGGAATTTTTTTTCAGATTGGGCGAATGCCAACTTCCTCTTGGCAGGTGCCGGTGAGTGGGGTTCTGCTGGAGAGACACACGTCCTTTCAGATGAGACAAGCCACGGCTTCGGCTTCTATTGGGCAGGTATGGTGGTGGTGGGGGGGGGGTCCTAAGGGAATCTGACGGAGGTGGAGGAGGGCTGCCACCTGTCACGGCCGTGTGTGTCACGTTACACAGAGCACGCAACACTAGTCTACAGACACGGATACGCACGATTCTATCGGGGAAATCCTATTTGAATGGCTTGTAACGTCCACGGATTCATATTCAAATGACGCTCGATAACAAATGTTTAAGATACGCTTTCCTATCAACAAATACAATATAACAGCTGATATAAGCGTCCGCTTCCCCCTTTGATGCTCTCAATGCACTTCGGTCTGCAGCAACAGGTGACACCCAACAATGCCGTTCGCTCGCATGGAGCAACCAACAGCAGCGTGCAGAAGAGCCGATCAATTACATCGCTTCCACACACACAGAGAAACGATCAAATACAACAAGCAAAAAAACCCAACGCACCTACGCCCAATGCAATTCTTCAGTATCCCAGCGCCGTCCTTCCGTCGTCCCCCCCACCCCTCCACCGGGCAGATCTTGTGCAAGGATCTAAATATCACCAATATCACAGGAGTCGTCGTCTGCGTCTGTGTGTGTGTGTGCGCAACATACACCAGCCGACACTGCGCAATGTGTGGAGGGAGAGGACCAGCAAATAAACGACGGGGCCAGCATCACTGGGGGCGAGACGGGGGGGTGGGGTGGGTGAGAGGGCGGGGGGGGGGGGACCCGACTCCGCCCATCGCCCCCACCCCCTGCCCCGCATCGCAAACAAAAGGAATAGCCCCGCCCCCCGCACCCCGCATCGCAAACAAAAGGAATAGCCCCGCCCCCTAGCGCGCGCACACTCCGGCTCGGTTTACGCAGTGCCCATCGCCCGCACGGGACCCACAGTCCCACACCGCCCATTCGCGCTGTTAAGATGACAATGCCCCAGTGACACTGGAACCGGGATTGTTAACGCGCGCCGATTACCCAGACCAATTCGAGACACCTATTGCATTGTGCCGCGGTGTGATCATTATTATTGATCTTGGAATCCAGAGGTCGCCAGTTTTTTTTGTTTTGGTTCATTCTATCTCTAGTTGAAACGATTGCACGGAGGGGCGAGTTTGTTGGCTTTCACCTCGGCTGTGGTGAAGTCGGTCGGCAGGCCGCATCACTCTGTAGTGGACACCCTTCCACCAGCAGCGGCGTGAACGAGCAACTTCAGGGCTGCACATTTACCGCATTAGGCCTTCAACGTGTAGATTAATAAAGACAAGTACAATAAAAATATATATTTTTTTATTTTACCAGGTAAGACCCACTGAACTAGTAATTTTTTTCAGAAGCGACCTGGCCACAAAGAAGAGGCCTTATCACGTGGAAATGTATAGCAGCCAAATACTCTTAAATGCATATTGATTGTAAATGTGGGGGGAAAAAAACCAGGGGACCCGGAAAAAATCCCCGCGTCCACTGGGAGGGAGGAGTACGCACTCCAAATATACAGGCGTCAGGATTGGGATCGGGGAGCGAACGCACCACCTCCTTTGTACCAGGCGAGGTAGTTAATGTCTCGCCAATGTGGCACCTCTGCCCAAGCAAGCAATTGGATGCTGCCCATCATCTCCGTTGGTAATGGAAAAATTCCACGTTCTTACGATGAGGGCCAGAGCACCACTGTTGATAATATGCATGAACAATTAATAAACGTAGATGGAGTATATAACTCGTGACTAAAACACAAATACATACAATTTCACGCATAAATGGGCACGTACGTGCGTATTACAAGTATATAAAACTCTTGCAGACAATGTACTCGACATACATAGACCAAATACGCAAGAATGATGATCCCCCACATAGCCTTTTATAGACTGTTAGGGCAAAGTATTGTTATTGATCCAAACATCCCTAAAGAACAGTACACAGCAGAACATGTCACTGCCTCACCGTTGACATCATATGCATTGTCATCATTGTTAAGTTGCGCTCAGCAATATTTGTATTCGCGCTACAATTCTGCATTTGGCTTATAGGGCAACAATCCTACGCATGGTGTGAGATGACGGAGCCTTGTAGGTTAGCTCGGTCTGTTGGTAGGGCAAGCATTCTGATGTCAGCACAGCCAGCTGAGGGGGATAGGTCTGCAGGCAAGAGTCCATGAAGAACGTTGAAGATATTCTTGGTTCTTTCGTGACTTTACCGAAAGAACCAAGAATATGAATCCCTGCAGTCACGAAAGCTTTAAATCAAAACGTTGAAGATGTTGAGTCCGTGCGATCTTGAAATGTATCCAATATTGTATTGGGAGCCAGTGGAGGGATTGAATGATAGGCGTTATGTGGTTTTAATTCCAGGTGTGGGTCAGATGTCTGACTAATTTTGAGACATCTGGAGTTGGAAGTGAGGGATGTGGGCAGAGAGTTGCGTTCATTCAGTCAGAATTTGATGTAGGCATGGACAATGGCTCTCTATTGGGATGATAAATGGCAGATGTAAGAGATGTTGAGCAGAAGGAGGCATGAAGCCCTGGAGCGTTGAAATATTTTGCAAGAAACTAGAGCTTGGGATGAATGACAACTGCAAGGTAAACCCCTCTGAAAGTGAACTCCTCTCATCTGCAACTCCTATTATCCAAAGGCTGCAGATGATCTGCTGTTGACTTCTCACAAACTGGTAATTTTCTGGACAATGGTCGGATGATGAGCCGCATTATCACAAACAGGGATTTTGGACTTGCAACCTTCTACCAAATGTGACTGGAGCACTAACTTTAGTGCCACCTGACCTAGCTTTGATTTTACACTGCCCTAGTTTTAGCTTGTAACTTTTACCACTGGTGTTTATAACACAACAATGGCTGCATATTTCTATGCAACTTAGTTAACGCTGAGAAAAAAACATTGTTTTGGGTTAATGTTTATACTGCACAAATCTGGATCTAAAGTTCCAAGCATTACAATAGGATTCTTCAGAACTGTGACAGTACAGCAACATGCAATTGAACTTGTAATACACTACTGTAGCGTAATGTTTCACACACTGGACTTGCAACTCAGAGGTTGTCGTTCCGATCTCCTTGCGTAGAATTTTAAACGATGGCCTTCTGTCCACCCATAAGTATAAATGGCTACACAACAGTTGATTGGCAGGTCACATTTGGTGAGGCATGGGGTGGGTAATCCCACCACTTCCAAGACGTAAGCTCTTGAGAGCTCCCTTTAGTGGGGGCCCTTCTGCCAGCAGTGGCGTGGGCAAGCAATTTCAGGACTGCACCTTAATCCTTTTACAAAATGTTTAAACAGGAAAACCATGTTTTTAGAAGGTAATTCAAGAAAAAAAAACAATGTAAAATTAACAGAAACATTAGATTACTAAATATAGTAATATAAATCATACAAGTATATATTTGATCACGTATCATACTTTATGTCGCATACACATTTGCTATATTACCCCCGTAAATATTGGAATCTCTTATAATGTTGTGATTATAATCATTCTACATGGGATATGCCATGTGTGTATGTATGTTGCACTTCTTTCGCACCGTACATAACCAACCGTGCTATTCAGAGGTGCGGGTTTAATCGGAGGTGAGGGATAAAACAATGGGCCATTTTTTTCATGGAAAAGCTTATGATTACTTATAAAGATGTCAGTATCATTATACAGACTCGAGTGCAGTTTGCACAAATTAATAATTTAAAGTGTACCCCTGAATTTGCTTCAAGCCACTGCTGATAGAAGGGTTTGCAGTAAACACGAGCACAAATTGAATATGAAATTGGTAAATGTATTTTGATATCGGAATTTTACAGAAAGTATGTTAGAGCACCAGTAGCAGCCGAAGCCACTGGTTCTAAAATTACAATAGATTACGTGGCATTTACATAGAGCTGTTGCTCCAAAAGCTAAACTAAACGTGTTAAATTGCAATAAACTTGATAATTAAGGAAACGTATTGCAACTTGCTACGATGTAAATTAATTGATCCAAGTATAAATATTTCTCCCTATATTTTGACGTAAAAATATATATGTAATGCCTCTACGAGATATATAAATGCGGTCAATATACACAGTACGGTAAACTCACATTATTAGTTTACAAATTACATAACAAGAGCTTCTTACAATAGTAAACTAATTATGTAGTGGCGATGTGTTGGCAGTGGTGCACAAGCATAAATCATTGAGAAAATCAATACATTAGTCGAAAACACTGCGTTAATAATCTTGACTTAACGCTTTCGTGACTGCAGGAATCCACACTCTTTTTGGTTCTTTCGGTAAAGTCACGTAGGTAGAAAAATAATAGATCACGACGTTTCGATTGCAACACAAGCAATCGTCATCAGGTGGGACAACCACAGCAATAACAAACTGCTGAAGTAGGCGAGGGATCTGCCGTGGCACGAGGTTATATAGTAGGCCTCGGCAGTAGGGGGGGGGGAGAGAGGGGGCGTGGCACGAGGTTATATAGTAGGCCTCGGCAGTAGGGGAGGGAGAGAAGTGGGGGGAGAGAGGGGGCGTGGCACGAGGTTATATAGTAGGCCTCGGCAGTGGGGGGGAGAGGAGGTGGGGGGAGAGAGGGGGCGTGGCACGAGGTTATATAGTAGGCCTCGGCAGTGGGGGGGAGAGGAGGTGGGGGGAGAGAAGGGGGCGTGGCACGAGGTTATATAGTAGGCCTTGGCAGTGGGGGGGAGAGGAGGTGGGGGGAGAGAAGGGGGCGTGGCACGAGGTTATATAGTAGGCCTCGGCAGTGGGGGGTGAGAGAAGGGGGGGGGGGGGGGAGAGAAGGGGGCGTGGCACGAGGTTATATAGTAGGCCTCGGTAGTGGGGGGGAGAGGAGGTGGGGGGAGAGAAGGGGGCGTGGCACGAGGTTATATAGTAGGCCTTGGCAGTGGGGGGGAGAGGAGGTGGGGGGAGAGAAGGGGGCGTGGCACGAGGTTATATAGTAGGCCTCGGTAGTGGGGGGGAGAGGAGGTGGGGGGAGAGAAGGGGGCGTGGCACGAGGTTATATAGTAGGCCTTGGCAGTGGGGGGGAGAGGAGGTGGGGGGAGAGAAGGGGGCGTGGCACGAGGTTATATAGTAGGCCTCGGCAGTGGGGGGTGAGAGAAAGGGGGGGGGGGGAGAGAAGGGGGCGTGGCACGAGGTTATATAGTAGGCCTCGGTAGTGGGGGGGGGGGGGAGAGGGGGCGTGGCACGAGGTTATATAGTAGGCCTCGGCAGTAGGGGGGAGAGGAGGTGGGGGGAGAGAAGGGGGCGTGGCACGAGGTTATATAGTAGGCCTCGGCAGTGGGGGGGAGAGGAGGTGGGGGGAGAGAAGGGGGCGTGGCACGAGGTTATATAGTAGGCCTCGGCAGTGGGGGGGAGAGGAGGTGGGGGGAGAGAGGGGGCGTGGCACGAGGTTATATAGTAGGCCTCGGCAGTAGGGGGGGGGGGGGAGAGAGGGGGCGTGGCACGAGGTTATATAGTAGGCCTCGGTAGTGGGGGGGAGAGGAGGTGGGGGGAGAGAAGGGGGCGTGGCACGAGGTTATATAGTAGGCCTCGGCAGTAGGGGAGAGAGGGGGCGTGGCACGAGGTTATATAGTAAGCCTCGGCAGTGGGGGGGGAGAGGAGGTGGGGGGAGAGAAGGGGGCGTGGCACGAGGTTATATAGTAGGCCTCGGTAGTGGGG